AAAAAAAAAAAAAAAGAGTTTAGAATATGGATTGCAAATAAGATAATAGAATGGAAGAAAAGATGGAAACTGAATTCCAAAGAGTAGTTCTGAAGTTGTCTCAAGAAATTAATGAATTCGAAGTCCATGTCACCAAAGATATGGACATAATTAGAAAAGAGATAGCAGAGCTCAAGGAAATAAAAAAGTTAGTTGGGGAGCTCCAAAATGTAGTAGAATCCCTTAGTAATAAAGTTGACCAAGCAGAAGAAAGGATGTCTTTTTTTTAATTTTTTTTTTTTTTTTTAGAGACAGAGTCTTACTTTGTCACCTTTTTTTTTTTTTTTTTAAGAGACAGAGTCTTACTTTGTCAACAGTAGAGTACTGTTGCATCACAGCTCACAGCAACCTCCAACTCCTGGGCTTAGGTGATTCTCTTGCCTCAGCCTCTCCAGTAGCTGGGACTACAGGCACCGCCACAATGCCCGGCTATTTTTTTTGTTGCAGTTCTGCTGGGGCTGGGTTTAAACCCGCCACCCTTGGTATATGGGGCCAGCGCCCTATTCACTGAGCTGCAGGCACCGCCCAGAAGAAAAGTTCTCTGAAACTGAAGACAAAGCTTTTGAATGTTCCCAAACACTCGAAGAGGCAGACAAATGGAGAGCAAAAACTGATCATTCCTTGAGAGAGTTGTGGGATCCCTCCAAAAGATCAAACATTTGTGTTATAAGAATTCCCAAAAGAGAAGAGGATGGTCCTAAAGGTACAGATGCTCTACTCCAAGAGACTTTGGAAGAGAATTTCCCTAGCATTCCAAGAGATACAGAACTTCAGATAACAGTTTCAGAACCCCCGCAAAACTCAATCCAGTGCCAGCCATATACAGCTAAGGTGGCAGGTTCAAATCCAGCCTGGGCCCGCCAAACAACAATGACAGCTGCAACTGAAAAATAGCTGGGCATTGTGGCAGGCGCCTGTGGTCCCAGGTACTTGGGAGGCAGAGACAGGAGACTCGCTTGAGCCTAGGAGTTGGAGGTTGCTGTGAGGGATGCCACGGCACTCTACCCAGGGGGACAGCTTGAGGCTCTGTCTTAAAAAAAAAAAAAAAAAAAAAGACTCGATCCAAATAAAGCATCTCCTAGACACATTGTGATTAACTGTGCCAAAGGTAAGATGAAAGAGAAAATTCTGCAAGCAGCCACACATAAGAAAAGCATCACCTGCAAAGGGATAAATAGCAGAATGACTACAGATCTCTCAGCCAAAACGTTTCATGGCACAAAAAGATGGTCATTGACCTTCAATCTCATAAAATAAAACAACTCCCAGCCCAGGATCCTGTATCCAGCTAAACTGAGTTTCATTTGTGATGGAGAAATCAAATACTTTAACGACATAGACATGTGGAAGAAATTTGCCATAATTAAACCAGCTCTCCAGGATATGCTCAGACCAATCCTCCACAATGACCAGTGCAATGCTTTACCTCCAAAGTAAACTCACCCAGAAATTTTTGAACAAAACCCAACTTCCACAGTGGAGAAAGGATTAAAAATGTCCACTGGATATCTGAAAATCATGACACCCAAAACACAACCAGGCTTATCAATTCTCTCAATGAATGTGAATGGTTTAAATTGACCTCAAAAGAGGCACAGGCTGGCTCATTGGATACATAAACTCAGACTGGATATCTGCTATTTACAAGAACCTCTTCTTACCATAAAGGATAAAAACAGACTCAGGGTGAAGGGATGGACTTGTATAATACAGGCAAACGGAAACCAGAAAAAAAGCAGGGGTTGCAATTTTAGTAGTAGATACAATTGGCTTTAAACTAACAAAGATAAAGAACGATAAGGAAGGTCACTACATATTTGTCAAGGGAAACACCCAACATGAAGAGATTTCAATAATTAACATTTATGCACCCTACCAGAATGCTCAATTCATAAAGCAAACCCTAATGGACATGAACAATTTCATATCTTCCTGCACTATAATAGATGGAGATAACACCCCTTTGACAGTTTTGGATAGATCCTCCAAGAAGAAACTAAACAAAGAAATATTAGACTTAAACCTGACCCTAGAACAAATGGACTTTACAGACCTCTATGGAATATTTCACCCTAATAAAACTGAATATACATTCTTCTCATCAGCCTACAGATCATCCTCCAAAACTAGGGTGACCAGATTTTAACGTCCGTAAGGCGGGACAACATGGCCGGGGGGTGGGGCAGGAGACAGGGCGGCGCAGAGCCTGACAACAATGCAAACTTTGATAAGCAGTTCTCGATAATCACTTCTCAGCAATTATTTGTTATTATTACAGTTTAACATTATAAAATTAACAAAAATAATATAAAACTCATATTCTGGCGAAACCGCCACATGGCAGCCAAAAACCGTATATTCCCTTCTTGTTTTCCCTCCTGTTCATGCATTCTTCCCAAAAATCGGGACTTTTTTAAAGCGCCACAGGACGCAGGACAAATTGTTGAAAAGCAGGACTGTCCTGCCAAAAGCGGGACGTCTGGTCACCCTATCCAAAACAGATAATATCCTAGGACACAAGTCTAACCTCAGCAAATTTAAGTATAGAAATTATTCCTTGTATCTTCTCGGACCACCATGGAATAAAAGTTGAACTCAACAGCAACAGGAATCTTCATACTCAAACAAAGTCATGGAAGCTAAATAATCTTAGGCTGAATGATAGCTGGGTCAAAGATGAGATTAAGAAGGAAATCACCAAATTTTTGGAACAAAATGATAATGAAGACACAAATTATCAAAACCTGTGGGATACTGTAAAGGCAGTCCAAAGAGGGAAATTTATACCATTGGAATTTATACCAAGAAAACAGAAAGAGGAAGCCAACAACATAATGGATCCTCTCAAGTAACTGGAAAAGGAAGAGCATTGCAACCCCAAACCCAACAGAAGAAAAGAAATAACCAAAATTAGAGGAGAATTAAATGAAATTGAAAACAAAAGAATCATTCAGAAGATCAATGAAACAAAAAGTTGATTTTTTGAAAAGATTAACAAAATTGATAAACCTTTGGCCAACCTAACCAGCAACAGAAAAGTAAAATCTCTAATATCATCTATCAGAAACAATAAAGGAGAAATAACAGGCTTGGCGCCTATAGCTCAATGGGCTAAGGCACCAGCCACATACACCTAAGGTGGCGGGTTCGAATCCCCAGCCCGGACCCGCCAAACAACAATGACG